TTTTTAAGATTTATCTATTTATACAGACCAGAGATGCCAGACACCTTGGAGAGAATTCACCAAGACAGAGTGGGGAGGGGAACAGGCAGTGTGGCAAAATACACCGTTGAGAGGAGCAGCGGGCGGGTCAGGAGAGGTCTGCCTGCCATGTGGATCACTTGGAGAAGGGGGTTGCGGAGTGGGGGAGTGGATCAAACTCATGCTGAAGTGGCTTTAGCTTCTTAGTGCAATGCTCTAACCTGCTGTGCCACCAGGGAGGGCCCTGATCTTTAGGTAACTCTGTTTTCCAACTGAGGTGACCAGGTGAAAGGCTGCCCCCTAAATTGCCCCCGCCACTCTGCTAGGCAGAAAGTCATGAACTTCTTTCCTTATTCATCCAGGATATAAGGTCTCACTGAAAACCTGTCAAAGTGCTAGTCCTCTCAGTTCTTGACAGGAGCCGCCCCCTAGAACTCCTGTGCTTCCAGGACTCCTCCAGTGAACCCGTCTTATGAGCGAGAATTCTCTCCCTCCCTTATCTTTGAATCCTTGGCCCTCTAACTAAGCCTAGCAAGCAAAGATCTTAGCAAATCTGTGTTGAACTGAAACTGTTTACTTTTAAGCATGAGTTAATTTCAATAGCTTTAACCAGAACTGAGCATGTCCCAGATTGTCTACAGAACAGCATGATTTTTGTTCCACTTTATTTTTCAGCCCTTAAGTGACCCAAGAGAGAGAGAGAGAGAGAAAAGTGGGCCCTCCCTGGTGATGCAGTGGGTTAAAGCACAGCACTAAGAAGCTAAAGTCACTTCAGCATTAGTTCAATCCCCACCCCAGAGGTGATCCACAAGGTGCAGCAGACCTCTCCTGACCCACCCGCTGCTCCCCTCAGCAGTGTGTTTAGTCAGTCTGCTTGTTCTGCTCCCCACTCTGTCTCTAGTGAATCCTCTCACTGCCCCTGCACCACTGGCTGTACCCCAGTTCTGTATGCATAAATAAATAAATCTTTAAAAAAGTGAGAGAGAAGTGAGAAATTTCCAGTGATTGTATTTGCAAGGTAAAATACAGACTGCCCAGACAAAAGTGAACTTTAGGTAAACAGCAATAATTTCTTTAGTATAAGCATGTTCCAAATTGTTGAAGGGACATTAACTAGAAACAACCATTTCATGGTTTAGCTGAAAAATAAATGTAACTGGAAAGCCTGCATTTTTATTTGCTAAAATAAACAGCCAGTTTAAAGACAATCAGTCTTTAAAAATTCTCTGTGGACTCACAGAATGTTTCTCTGCAACACCTGGAGGCTTGTGTCCAAGCTCTGCAAACTTCTCAATTGGCCAGATTTTGTCTGTTATGGCAGCTGCCTTTCTCTTTGGACATTCAATAACACAATTCAGAAAATACTCTTTTGATTATAATACTTCCTCTTATGTTGCTAATTTCATAGAATTTCTTTCTAGTCCCATCTATTAAGAACGTTAATAGAACAAAGAACACTGTAAGGTTTCTCAAAATTTCTCAGAAAACTGCATCCACAGAGTTTTTATTATGCCCCAATTAAGGTCTACCTCTATATATTCACAGTTAACAATTTTTGAAAAATTCCTACTTTCTATGAGGTCAGTAAAAAAAAAACAATAAAGGAAATAAATATCTGTCATTTGGGGATTTAATTTTTCATTAATCAAGCAGAGGAGACGTACCCTCCAGGGACCAGGCTGGGAGAAGCAGGCTGGCAGGAGGAGGTGGAGCCTGTGATGTAACTGCAGTGGCTTTGTTGAAAAAGCCTTCCTAAATGTGAAACATCTGTAAACCCAGAGCAGCTGCTTTACCATGTATGGGTTAGAGGGCGAAGAGGGAGGCATCTTTTAGCATGGTGTCAATCTTGGAGGCTTGAAATCTTAGTCAACAGAGGAATTCTTCTGTTAGCAACATACCTGGCTCACCAGCGGTGGAGAAAGCCGGTTTGGAACAAGCCGGTTTCTTCTGCAAATGGGAACCACAGGAGAGTCCTAACTGCTGTGTGTGCTAGCCTACTGATTAACGGTGATGGTGCAGTGGAAGTTCTAACCTAAAGATGAAAGATGCCTTCCAATTTCTTCCAGTCCTGAAGTCCCTTCCAAGAATGTGATCTTTTAGCGTTCTTGACAGTGACGACAGAAAAGACATTTCTTTCTTATTCCCACGAAAGAATCAAGGAGCGAGAAATACCTTCCCAGGGAGAGCGATACAAAAGTGTGCCTCCCTTGGAATTTCAACTAGACCGATCTCAGAGACAACTTGAAGGGCGGGAATTGCCTACGTTCTTTGTGACTACCTGGTGTCATAAGATGATCATGAGTTAACACGTTCACCCCAACACACGCACTCTACCTGCCTTCCACCATATTGGCAGCGCCAGAGGAGCGCGGTTGTCAAGCGATGGCACCACACGCACGCACTGCAGAGATGCAGAACAATGCCTGGATGCCCGCCCAAACCCGGTGCCTCCGAACAACTGCCTCAATTTATGGTGCCCAGCTAAAGCTCACTGTGGGTGAGCAGCGTCTTTTTCCTCGTTGGTGCGGGTTAGAGGTAACATTTGGAAAGCTCGTGACACAAGGCTCCCACTTGCCTGGCCAGCGAAGCTGACAAACACATTCATTAAACTTGATCTGAAGCAAGCGAGCCGGCGAGGTCGTTGCTGAAATATTCATAAGGTGTGTTACCCGACTCGCCACTTAGAGGCTCAGCAGAAACACCGCGAGCAGGCGCAGCCCGCACTCACACCTGGCAAAAAGGCATTCCACGGTTTTCTCTAACTGCCCCGTGGCTGTCGCTCCCAGCTAGCCCGTTCAGTTCTACCTGCCCGGGAAAGAGGTGCTCTGAGAACTGAGGAGTTTCCCAAGCAGTTGGAGGAGGCACCGCGCGAGTGACCCCCAGCCCGGCGGTCCCACCGGCCCGCAGTTCGCGCTGCCCCAGAGGCCTAGGCCCACGGGTCTGGGGGGTCCCGAAGACCCCAACCGGCCTCTCGCCCAGGCCAGGCCGTCTTTCGTTCCCCGCTCCCATTTTGGTCTCTCTCGGGGTTGCTTCCTCAGAGACCTCGGCGTTCAGTTGCCAGGTGACCCGCACCCGGGCCGACAGGCAAGAACCTCTCGCGCAGCCCTGCCGCCCGCGGATGTTAACTGGGGAGAACGGGAGAAGACAAGACCCGGGAAAGACCGATAGTCCTGGGTGACCGCGAAGCCCCGGCCCCCAAGCAGTGCACACTTGAATTCCCGTACCCGCTCTGCCCACGACCCTACATTTCTGCGGCGCCCCAGATGCCGCGCAGTTAGCACCGTGCCTGGAGCGCTCGCCGCCACCTCTCTGCTCTCCAAGGGCATTCGTTTCGTGACCCTCGATTCCAGCGGGGCCAGCCCCAGGCCCGCCACTCACCTGGACTCCGCGGCGGCAGAAGGCTCAGCAGGTTCCGGCGGGCGGCTGTCGGGTCTCCATCGCCGCCTCCCCGGGGCGCTCCAGCGACTTGCTCCGCGGCGGCGATGGACTCGGGCGGTCCCCCGCGCGGCGGCTGCACGGGGGTGGCCGCGGCTGCCGCACTGGCTGCAGGCGCGGGAGGGGCGGGGGCGGGGCAGGAATCTGGGTCGCGGGAGCCGAGCGAGGGAGAGGCACCCGGGTGGCCAGCGGCGAAGAGGCGACCGCAAGCCGCCGGGCGAGGGCGTGCAGAGGTTTCTCTAGGAGCTGGGCGCGGGCGCGACTGAGCATGCCCAGTCCTCCAGCCGGGGGCGGGGGCGCGGGCGCGGTGAGAGAGCGGGGCGCGCGGGCCCCCACGCGGAAGTCCAGGGAGAAAGGGTTAAATCTGCGGACGCCGCTGCTGTGCGAGCAGAGGAACTGGCTGCAGTGGCCCAGTTGAACTGAACCTGGGTCGCGCCCCCGTGGCTCCCATCCCGAATAGATGAACCTCGGCAGACCTGTTAGTGGGATTCCTGCAGAATCCTGTAATGTGAGATCGAGGACGCTTCCTCCCCCAGAGAATTGCCGAGAAGTCAAAGTTTGTTTGTTAGCTTAGCTCTAACCTGTGTGATCTCAGAGAGCGATTTCCTCAATCCAGACACCCACCCACCTCAGCTTTCCGGACTCCTGCTTCTGACCAGCAGGGTCAAGTTCGCAAAGAGCCGGTTGTTTAATTAGGTGTAATTGAGAGGCAGAGTCTGTCATCCCAGGTCACATATCTGCATTTCAACCAGGGCCTCAGAAACAATACCTTAACCCTGGGTTAATTGTAATGGATGAATTACAGACACCGATCTTAGGCTGTTCAGAGACTGCCTCACAGGGCAACAGGACTGGCCAAAGACTACTATCTCTCTATGTCTCTGTCTGTCTGTCTGTCTGTCTGTCTGTCTGTCTGTCTGTCTGTCTGTCTGTCTGTCTGTCTGTCTCTCTCTCTCTCTCTCTCTCTCTCTCTCACACACACACACACACACACACACACACACTGGGAGACTTGTCCCTTTGTTTGGTATTGTTTTTGAATTGGGGTAAGAACAGTTCTCTACAGCTCATCAAAAACTTTCTCATGTCAGAGGCAACATAGGTTAGGGGAAAGGGCAAGAGTTTCCAGGTCTCCCTTGATTTCAGTGTCATTAATCAGCCTAGCAGGTAACTAGCCATTAGGCCTCTGTTTCTCAACTATGAAATGAAGAAAGGTGACCCCTATTCTTTGAGCTGCGGTGAGAATTGAGAGAGTGTAACCAAAACACCTGTTTTGTAGCAAATGTTTGTTAAATGCAAATCTCTGTAGGTTCCACTCTGTTATTGTTTTCAGGAAGGTTGAGTGAATGATTTTCCTTAAATGGTGGACATTTATTGTGTCTTGCTTCACACTTAATAACCTTAAGCTTTGATTTTTCTGTTTTTAAAAATATTTTAAAACTTAGCTACTTTGCAGCATTATCTACTACTATCTTCTTTCAACTCTCCAATATCTTTACACTTCCTTGAATAAAATTGTTGGAAAAAGCTAGACCAAGGCCATATATGGGTTCTCATGAGAAGAAAAAGCTTTTCAGAGAGGTTCTTTATGGGCAGGTTTGCCCATACAACAAAAGGCTTTTTCTCTGTAGTCTTACAAAAGTAGCTTTAATTTACTTATATTCCCCTGTGGTCCTTTTTTCACAACTATTGTATTGTGAAGTTATGCTCATGGGGAAGGAGATTTACTTTCCACTAATACTGTTCCCTTTTTAAAGTATCAGTGTTCAAAAACTAAACCTTTCATTATCCCTGAAACATACCATGTTCTTCATGGTACTTCACATTTATTTATGGTGTTCCGCCCTTTCTGGAATAGTCTTCTCTTCCTATTCAAACTCAGAAATCTCCACCCACTCTCTGAATTGAAATGCTGTCTTCTTTCTGAAGCGAGATGCCATAGCACCAGTGTATACTGTGATCACAGCAAACTGAAACCATTTATTGAGCAATTATTATGTGCAGGCACTGTTCCAGGTGCTAGAAAAACAACAATGAACAAGACAGGCATGGTCCCTGACATCATGGAACTAGTAGAGCTTGGCAAAGAAAGGTAGTAAACAATAAATAATCACCAAGGACACAGGTCAAGTATATTTTTGGCTTTGTATTATACATAAAATTAAACTATATGGTCTTGAATCATCCTTCTTGAAACATCAATGGCTGACCAACTACATAGACATGGGTACTACCTGTTTATAAAAGCTGAATCAATGACAGTTTGTCCTTTCATTTGACTCCTCATTTAAAACAGTTCTAGCCTTAAACCACTTTAGATAGATACTAAATGATGAATGGAAGGTGGTAGGGGAAGGCTATGCCAAATTACATCCTGTTTAACTTCAAGCAATGGTTTTCTCCAATGGTCAGATTCAACGTAAATCCCTGGATCAGACACCCAAGCATGTCTTTCAGGATCACTCATCACTCCCAACCCCTTGCCTCCCCACCACCTTTGGTCTTTATATCAATAGCTATCCTTTGTTGTACAACATTTGACTATTTGGATTTATCTACTGAGTGACCTAAGGTTTTCTCTGATTCCTGACTGCTTGAGTGAGAGACAAACATGCTACCACTTAGAAGCAATTTTACTAAAGTATATTTGAACATGTGTAGTCCACAGTAACTAGAAACAGCATTGCAAGATTTGAGCATTTTGTTCATCTTGTACTTAGCAGACACCCAATACACAATAGATCCTCAGTGAAAGATGATAAAATGAATGAATGCACACAGGTACTCAACTCATCTTGTTCCTGCTGATCATAGTTCCTTTCCAACTGATCTTTCTAATCATGGGATTTGGTTCTCTTTTGCCCTTTCCTAGTAAACTAATTCTCTCCATTTCCAGACCCACATATTTCTCTATTTCAGGATGCATAGAGAATTGTGGGAGAAAATCTTAGCCACAATTCATTACATGGACATGTGTGTTTTATAAATAAAGCAAAAATCAACTTTTAGATTTTAAGACCAATTAGTGGTAACCTGAAGGGAAAGAGATGAGGGACATATAAATCATGACAAAGGGAACAGCAGTATGGAAAGAGCAGAGATGGACATTCCATTTTCATGTGTAGCTTTCCATTGGTACACATTTGAAATTTACACAATCTTATAAAGCAATTTTACTTAAATAAAAGAAAATTAATGAGCCCTCCCTGGTGGCGCAGCAGGTTAAAGCACAACACTAAGAAGCTAAAGCCACTTCAGCATGAGTTCAATCCCTGACCTGGAGGTGATCCACATGGTGCAGTAGACCTCTCATGACCCGCCCACTGCTCCCTTCAGCAGTGTATTTCAGTAGATCTGACCGTTCTGTTCCCCACTCTGTCTCTGGTGAATTCTCTCACTGTCCCTTCACCTCTGGTCTGTACCCCAGTTCTGTATGCATGAATAAATAAATAATAAAATCTTTTTTTAAAAAAAAGTAAATTGAATGTTTTAGTTAAAGCCACAATCCATCCTCTACAAATCAGTATCACTATGACTTCCTCAACCATATGGCAACTCTCTATAAGAGTTTTCTTTTCTACCACTCCCACTCCCATTCGTTGTTTTTGTTTTTGTTTTTTTTTTACCCTGTACATCCTGCCCTTTCCCCAATGCATGAGACCACTGAGTGTCATCAAGTGCAGTGGTGGGAATGGGCTCATATAAACATATCCTCCTCCTCATTTTCCTCCCCATTTTCAGGAAATGTTATCTACTTCTTGAAAGCTATTCTATGCCAATTAACTGTTCTATTCCATTTTTATTCTTTCCTTTGGCTTCACCAACTTTTCTCAAGTATCTTTTAACCATATGCAATCTTCTCACAGTTGGTTGGAAATCTGACTTGACCACAATTCAATTTTATGATGTTTAAATATACACTCTCTAATATAAGCTTTCATGGGTCCCTTAAAGAAAACTCATGGGCTCTTTTTCATTTCCAGATGTTTCCCTGGTGCTTCAACACAGTTACAGTCATACCTGCCAAGCCTGTAAGGACAAAGAGAGGTGTGACCTCATGTTCTGCTAACCAGAAACAGCTTCCCTAAAAATCCCCACACTGCACATTTCTTACCCTCCCCTAGTTTGAGATACTGTTTAAGGAAAACTGCTTTTTAGGCATCTTTGTCACAGGCAAACACTAAAAGCATTTCTCATCAGTTTGTAATATTTGGAAAAATACAACTAATAGGCAATCTAGCAGGATGACACAGAGAGGTCTATAGAATTTCAGTTAGTAGACTTGTTGGAGACCAGTAGATCTTTGGATTAATCCAGGAAGGGCCTTATGGTTTCTAGACTGGCAGGGATCCAGGTCCAGGTAGTTTGAAGGCAAAGGCCCATCTGAATGAAGTAAAGTGTTTTGGTGAATTTGCTAGAACAATGTTACCCAATGTTATTACCCCAACCTGGAGGTTAAGGTGCCTGGCATTAACCACTGAAGTCAGTTTTATCCTTGAAGTCAGGATGATAACAAAAGCATCTACCTCAGAGTATTGCCAGCAAGATTAAGTCAGTTAATGGTGTGTACAGTGCCCAAGACAGTGGCAAACCCATAGTGCTCAAACTATCTTAGCCAAGAATTCAACTGCATTATTTTTGGATAAAAGGTTTATGTAACAGATTACCATGAGATCAGCTGGGGTTGGGGGCATGGCCGGTGTGTTGAGATACTGAGATCATTTGATGTAGTATTTAGAAGGAATGAGAGGAGAATCCCCAGAGGAGGAGTTGTGCCTCTAAAACCCACCCAAATGACAGCAGTAGAGCTGAGGAGAAGAGGAAGGTTTGGAAGCTGCTGTGCTCTGTCATCAATTTCTACTCCACATTGGCCCATTATAAGTGACACACAGTTTTGGGTGTATTCCAGGCGGGTGGATATGTTGTCCTGCTGAGGAGATCTTACTGAACATCATCCTTAGGAATTTATTTGAATAAAAATGTCCCCACCCAGAGGTTCCTTTCTATAGCAAGGTAGAATTGAGCAATGGACAGGTGGCAATTTCCTGCCTGGGTGGGGTGGAAGTCATGGCCCACTTAGTGAGTTCCAGTGTGGCTCTGGCTGACAGTGCTTTGACTTGAGGAACTGGTGGTAAGATTGTACGTATTGGCTTCCCAATGAAACTAAAAATGAAGCCT